AAAGCTGCTGGAGGTGAAGAACCTATCCCGGAAGGAATTTGGTGGCTTCTCTGCACTGGTGACATACCAAATGAGAAACAGGTGAACCTCTCCGGCCCTCCCTCGAAATCCAAGCTCGCAAGCATTGTGCTCTCTTATCATCTCCCATTTCGTGAAGTTACTGGTTTACAGACGTCGGCTATCACCAAGGAGTGGAACGCTCGTGCCGATCTTCCAGCTCATGTTGCTCGCATGCTGGACAACTTTCCCGACAACCTCCATCCTATGGCCCAATTTGTGGCAGCGATTGCCGCTCTAAACAATGAGAGCAAATTCGCGGCTGCTTACGCTCGTGGTGTTCCCAAGAGCAGTTATTGGGAGTACGCCTACGAGGTTCATTGTGCAAATCCACAACCCGTAATAGGAAGTAAGTCATTCATTTTTTATAGGACTCGATGGATCTCCTAGCAAAACTGCCCACCGTGGCTGCAATCATTTATCGCAATCTCTATCGTGATGGCTCAGCTGTGGGAGTGATTGACCCGAAAAAGGATTGGTATGTTTTTTTGCGTTGCTTTATTGAGCATCGAAAAAGCTTCGTTTCCAGGTCCGCTAATTTCTGTTCTATGTTGGGATATGATGATCCTCTTTTCTGTGAGTTGATGAGGCTTTACCTCGTTATTCACTCGGATCACGAAGGTGGCAACGTCTCCGCGCACACCTCTCATCTCGTTGGTTCCGCTCTTTCGGATCCTTATCTCTCATTTTCTGCTGCGATGGCAGGTCTTGCTGGCCCACTGCACGGACTTGCTAACCAGGAGGTGATTCTCAACCATCTCCTATCGAATTCTGCTGCGATCTAAATGCATGAGGCTTCAGGTATTAATTTTCCTCAACAAGATTGTTAGCGAGCTTGGGTTCAAGTACAGTGAAGAGCAGTTGAAGGAATGGGTATGGAACCACTTGAAGAGTGGCCAGGTACAGAAGAACTCCAATTATTTTGATCTTTACACTAATTAATATCTGTTTGTACCAGGTTGTCCCTGGTTATGGTCATGCAGTGCTACGGAAGACTGATCCTCGTTATGAGTGTCAGCGTCAATTCGCTTTGAAACATCTTCCCAAGGATGACTTATTCAAACTTGTATCAACTCTTTATAAGATCACGCCAGACATTCTGCTTGCCCAGGGCAAGGTACGTTTTCTCGTTTCCAGTTTTTCGAGAAGTTCTCGGATTTGCGGTATTGTATTCCCTGCTGGATTTGCTAGCTGGTTGCAAAGTTATAGTTACTCATATTGCAGGCGAAGAATCCATGGCCGAATGTTGACGCTCACTCTGGTGTGCTGTTGCAGTACTTTGGAATGAATGAAATGTCGTTCTACACAGTATTATTCGGAGTGTCTCGAGCTCTTGGTTGCCTTTCTCAGCTGATTTGGTCTCGTGGAATGGGCCTGCCACTAGAAAGACCAAAGTCTCATTCAACAGAAGGACTCATAAAACTTGCTGCGGCCGCCACTAAGAAGTAATTCAACCCACGAACTCTTAGTGATAGTTATTAGTATAGATTTAAAAATTTGTAAATTTCATATGGGTTGAGTCATTTTTGTTTATTTTTTATAAGCTTTCATGTTTCGATATGTATTGAGTGCTTTGTTTCCTGAAATTCTAATGAGATCGATCGAGATGTAACACTGTTTTGTCAGCTGTCTGTATCGCTAATAAAGTGCTAATATTCCTTGTAAAATCTATTTTGACTGATCGTGCTTGTTTTGACGTTTTATCAGTCGAGCCTATTGCCCAGAGTGGGATGGACTTGTTTTCCTCTCATTTGACTGTGTCTGTAATGAGAGCGCATGTTCGTATTCATCAAGAATTCGGCAAAAGTTCGTGGAAATGAGTCCGATGTTTTTACGAACGGTAATTGGTGACTTAAGAGCCAGCTGCCTTCACGAGATGTCGCTCAGTTACAGAATGCAGTGAAAAAGTAACTGAATTGTATTTCGTGTGTTTGTGCTTGAAATTTCATATGATATGGTTGTTGTGACATTCGCATTATTTTGAAAAGACAAATTTCGTGTAGAATTTTACGGAGCCTTGATTCCAAGGTTACTATTAAAGCATAATAATGTAGGCGATGATTGAATGAAATCATCTTGTCAGCTTCAGTATCTCGATACTTGATAAGCGTCGAATGATACCTCTTTTCTGAAGGACCTCATAGCTTCTTGGAACTGTTGACCTTTTTTTCTACCTCGAATTCATCTGTTCTGTGTAATTCAGCTGCGGGCACACACACATACGCACACGCATTTACAGTAGCGGTCAAAAGTTTGGAAACTTTTTAATTTCTCGAATAGCGCGGCCAGTTGAGATCGTAATTATCCCTAAGTTACATATTAGACATAAAATTATGAGGGAAATATGACATGCAACGTGGTCTTACGAAAATCAAAAGCCTAGTTCCTAAAATAAGAAAGTTCGAAGAATAGCGCGTCAAAAGTATGGAAACTATCTGCCATATCGTTTTGTCTTCTTCTTGTCCAGGATGGAGTATTTTTCGTAATATTTAATCAAAGCGTGGTATATTGGGCGGTTTCCAGATGGGATCAGGTAAAGAAGTTCCATTATCCGTTCATGAAACAATTATTG